ATATAGAACGAACTAAAATAGAAATAGTGGACAAGTTAAGTGGCACTACAAAAAAATAATATATTTGTAACGGAATTCCGTCCCTAAAGTTCACGTAGTTAACGTAATTCTATTACTAATTCCTACCCTAATTGTGTTTAATGAAAATAGAGTTTATTCCATAAATCGACATGGCCCAACACGCCCCCTCAGGTGCAAGTGGGTCTGCGAAACTTGCACATGCATATGCCACAAAATAAGGACGGGCGGGACTCGAACTCGAGACCTAACCTAGGCTCTGATACCATGTCGAGAAACTAATGACCGTCTCACCTAAAAGCTCGAACTTATTAGGGAAACTAAGCCACTAGTTACATATCCCGCAAACGGGAGTCCTCAACATGTGAACAAAAAAATTTTGTTATAAAAATAATTTTTTATTGTAGCGTGGGATGAAAGGAGTATATATATATATATATATATATATATATATGCTCTACATAGAATTGAAGAGCAGATAATAACCCTGAAAGGATATATGGGATGGATAAATCCACATAATTCCTCACCACACAATATCTCAACATGCATTTTAAAAAAAATAAATAACTAATTTATAATTATGAAATTGTTTATATATATATATTGTAGGGTAAATTATCTTTTGTGTTTTAGCATAAATCCCCAAGATTCTTTAGTATTTATTTATTACACGAATTAAAATATGCACAAAACATTAATCAGATTAAAGCTCATATTTTACTCTAATACACTTAATTATATAAATTTTATATAAATAAAAAATTTAAATAATTCATTTAATAATAGGTTTTTCTTTTTTGAGAATGTTACGTAATATTATTTTTAAAAATTAAAAATAGAAGATTGATAATTTATTTATTAATTTAAGTAAGACTATTTAAGATATTTGATTTCTTTTACTTATATTAAATCGTATATAATTAGAAGCATATTTACAATCAAACATTTTGAACGAAAAAATTTCTTGTACATATTTTTATTTAATACAAAAAATTTCATATAATAAATAAAATATAATATATTTTATTCATTTATAAAAAAACATAAGCAATATTATATAATTTATTCTATTTTGTATTGCCTCACATATTTTGAAGAAAATTAATTACAGTATAATTGAATGAATAATAGAATTAAATATCTATTAAATAAATTAGAATATCTTGTGTCATATATGCTATAGTCCGTTCCTTGATTGCTTCAATTTATTTATCTTGTATTATATGTGCTATAGCCCGTTCTTTAATAAATTTTTAACTAAATAAATATATATTTTATTCGTCCACCAATTTTAGTCGACTTTCTTTATAAAGTTACAAAGAAATAAAATTAAAATTGATAGCCGGAGGCGGTAGCGAAACTAACATCTAAATTGGGGGGGTAAAATGTTATACTGATCTCTCCGTCCCATTGAAAGGTTGTCATTTTCTGTTTTCGTCTGTCTCAAAATAAGGTTGCCGTTTTCTAATTTAGTAATTGTACCACCTACCTAATATAATAAATACCCTTCCAACTTACACTATATTACACAAATGTTATTTTCGTCTTTTTCGCTACAATCCATTTAAATAAATAATAATGACAGAATTATATATGAATTTAGATAATTTTAGGGGAACAAATTGTATATAAATATATAAAAATTAATATTTTTAATACTAAAAAAATTATAAAAAATTTTGGCTTGGGATCGCTAGCGTAGTTCCGTCACTGAAGGAAGCATAACTTATTCTAAATATCTTGCTACTCGCATGATTTGTGTTTAATCAGTAAATTTTTAAATTTTTTATATAAATAAATTTAATGTAATATTTTATGAGAAAAAAAAAAATTTATTTGTGAAAATTAAATTATATAATAAATATAAAAAAATTATAAAATTATTTTCCTTTTTCATTTATATGCAACAATTTTACTTATTTGTTCTTCTATATACAATTGTAAATATTCCAAAAGTCATAAATGGGTTGCTTGACTTTTACAAAACTACACACAAATAACGTTTCTCTTTTGTTATTACTTTATTCAAAATTTTATTACTTTTATATTAAAGAGGGGTAACTAATTTGTTATTATTTTTTTCTAATTATTGTAATAATTTTTATTAATTTTCAAATAAATTTTTTATAATACTTCAAACTTTACGTTTATACTTGCCATACTTTTATATTATAATAGTGGAGTATTATTTTTTTTTTCTTAAATTTTCATGTATGAGATTGTGACATAATTAGCCCCAGGGAGTAATATTATATCTCTCGAGTCTAAAATATTTAAGAAATAACCAAAATAAATATTTTAATATAGTTGTTGATTTCAATATATACATAAAAGCATACAATATATATATCTTCATAACATAACATATATTGTGTTATGGGGTCTCGTATACTGAGTTATAATATAATATATGATGTAACATAAATATGTATCCGATCAAATCAGTAGTAATTAGCACTATGTTTGATTTCAATGGATTAGCTTCGAATCATAGTCTTATCTTTAATATAATAATGCTTTCATAGTTTGTAATAATTAGTAAAAAAATTCAATTTTTTTTTTTAAATATTACATTTCCAATAAAAATATATTGTTATTATTTTTTAAAAAAAATCTAAATAAAATTATAGCAAATGTAACAAATTTAATACTATTTTCATAGATTTTAATAGCAAATACTCCCTCCCCCCTATATTATTTAGACCTATTTTCATAGATTTTAATAGCAAATACTCTCTCCCTCATATCTAATTTAGACCTATTATTGTAAATAAAAGAATTTATGTAAAATATAACTAATAAATAATTCAAAAGTATATTAGTAAAAAGAATCATTTTATAGTAAAAATAATTATATATTAAAATTAAGATAACTAGTTTAATTAAAATTAAAAAAAATTATAAATAATAAAATTTAACATGCGATTAAAGTGTACACTCATATTTCAAAAAAAAAAATTGATAAATTAGATAAGATCAATGAAAATAGAAAATAATGACAAATTATGTCGGACGAAAGGAGCTATACAAAGCACCAAAGTTCCTTATAAATGAAAACACTGAAAAATAAGAGAAGATACATGAATAAAATTTGAACAATCTAACTTGTAGATTTTAAAAATATTTCAAAATTAAAACTACTTAAAAGTTATAGTTCCAATAAAAATACCTTATTTTCTCAAGTAAAATATTAAATCAAAATACTAGTAAATTAAAATTTTAAATTAATAATCTATTTTAAATCAATTTCAAACAACAAGCAAACAATCTACTTTTATAATACTCATGGATTTGTTTGTTTTTTCATTTCAAACACAAATTATTATTATTATTATTATTAATTTTTTTTTACTATTTTCAATAATGGTGAGATATTTTTAGATATTCAGTTTTGGATTTAGTAGATTTATATCTAGATTTGATCTTATTCATAGATTAGATTACTTAGATTTGAATCTATCGAGTTTGTTTTGTATGACCTATATAGAGGCTCCTGACGATAATAAGACAATATCATTATTTTTCCCCAAAATTTCTAACATGGTATCAGAGCCTATTTTTTCATGTTATATATAGCTTACCAATCCGCGTTTCTCCGGGTACCTTCAACCTAGATTGTACCCGGAGGTCTTGTGATTTTGATATATGTCTTTGCAAGTCTGTCTTTTTGCAAATCTGTCTGCTGCCTGTATGATTTTGCATGCAATCTGAAATTTGTCTGCGATCTACATATGAAATCTATTTGCGACCTGTCTGTTATCTACCATATGTCCATTGTCTGTTTGTTGCCGCGTTCGATCTGCCATCTGTCGTTGTCTGCGTGCGATCTGTCATCTTTCGTTGCTTGTTTATTGCCGGAAATCTGTCTACGATCTACGATCTGCCATCTGTCCGTTGCTTGTCTGTTGCCCGCGTGCGATATGAAACCTGTCTGCGATCTGCCATCTGTCTGCTGCTTCTCTGTTGCCTGCGTACAATCTGAAATCTCCGCTGCTTGTCTATTGCCTGCGTGCAATCTGAAACTTGTATGCAATCTGTCATCTTGCTTGTCTGTTGTCTGCGTGCGATCTGTTTGGTGTTTGCGATCTATCGTTTTCGGCTCTGGTGGAGAGTTATCTCGTTTTTTACTTTGGTGGAGAGTCATGTCGTTTTCGGCTCCGGTGGAGTCCTGTCGTTTTCGGCTCCGGTGGAGTCCTGCCGTTTTCGTCTCCGGTAGAGTTATTCATAGATTAGATTACTTAGTCTATGTTTTGTATGGCCTAGCTCCTTATTTTGACGATAATAAGACAATATCATTATTTTTTCCCAAAATTTCTAACAAATAAAAATACAATATTACATCTTATAAAAAAATAGTATTTAATTCGATATTTTTGTAAATATATATATTTGATATGATGTTTTAAAAAATTTAAAATAATACTCCTCTCGGACAAATTGTCCATGTCACTGTAGATATAAAAAATTAGATAAAATATAATTAGTAATTAATTAAAAGGTATACTATTAAAAAGAATTATTCTATAATAAAAATAATTATGAATTAAAATTAAGATTACTAAATATTTAATTAAGATTTAAAATATTATAAATTATGAATTTTAAAATGTGATTAAAATTTATAATTATGTTTAAAAATAAATTACGTAGAACAGATCAAAATAAAAAAAATGAACAATTTATATAAAAATAAATAAGTATCAAGGTGCTACACCAATCAAATCAGCGTAATGCTTATTTGATTGGTCAAAGTAAAGGTCAGCATATATTATGTACTATATTACATATTTATAATACTAACGTATGTTATTTTATAACTCATCCTATAATATCTTATAATACAATATATCTTAGTGATATGCAAAAATATATATTTATTACATATCCTCACCCTAATGTCAAATATCAGAAAATGATATCTAAACAAAACCCAAAACTTTCAGTAGTATTTATTTTATTGAAATGCAAAAACTTCCAAATCGAAAACTTTCACCAAAAGTCGTTGTGTACCTATAAAAAAAAAAATATCTGGCAAAAGAGTGTCGAACTCAAAGGTTCCTCACAACAGCAACAACAATGGCGATCACCTCCATCTCTCTTGCCAAAGCTTTCACCCTTCATCATTCACCAGCTTTTCCCCTTTCCTTATTACACACCAACAACAAAACATACAAACTCACTTACGGCGCCACGCCGGACATAACCCGGCAAGAAAAGTTGCATTTTCCGAGGATGCGCAAGATTGTAATGACGCTGAAAGAATCCCCTGCTGCAGCAATGCAAGAGAAGCCCGCAATGCCTAATTCGACAGCTCTTGTAACCATAAAGTTTAAGAAAGCAGGGAATTTTGCGGAGCTTATTAGTCGCGGCGTGAAGGCTGCATTAGGACAGGAAGGTGTAATTCTGCAGTTAGTGAGCAACGAAGTTGATCCAAGTAAGGTGATTGCGTGTTTTTTGCTCGATACATAATTGTTTTATCGAGATTTGTATGTAGTGTTTTTAATTCAAAAGCTTTTGGTTGATGTGAAGAAACAATGAAGGCAAAGGTTAGCAAAGAAGTAGTAGTAAAATGGTCGAATAGCGAAAAGGTTGAAGGAAAAGGCGAAGGCGATGATTGTACTTACAAGGTGAAGTTTGATATTGATCCCGACTTTGGTATCCCGGGAGGTATCCAAGTTCGGAGTCAATGTGACGAAGAGTTCTTCCTAGTGAGTGCATCGGTTGGAGAAGTTCAATTCATTTGCCGATCATGGGTGCAGCCGGAAAAGATCAGCCCGGGGGCGAGGATCTTCTTCATTAACAAGGTAAGAACAAGAACATAATCCCAAGTTGTTTTCTTTGTGATGTCTTAAAAGTCACGGGAACGATAAATTTTAGAGTGGTTGAAATTTAATCAAAACGAAAGAAATATCTTGTCGAACTATAATATAGTATGCCAAATTTCTATATTAGTTTTTGCTGTGTTGTGAAGCTCAAGTTCAAGCGATAAAGAGTACTGTACATTCAACCCTTTGGGCTTGTCCGTACAATTTTTGTACTACTTGCCAGCCAATGAATTACATTTAATACTAGTGAAAATATCTATCTTCAAAATGTCAATGACCGAATTGGATCACCAAATTATCGGGACATAAATCAATTTGATTGAACTGGATTACCAAATTATCGGTGTGTTATGCTGATTTTCAGTACTCTATGCAATGAAACAGGCATATCTACCTTCTCAGACTCCATCGGGACTGATCGAGCTCCGGCGGCGAGAACTTACCGATTTAAAAGGCGACGGGAAGGGATCACGGCTGCCAACTGACAGAATATACGACTACGACGTGTATAATGACCTTGGCAAGCCCGACGAAGGACCTGATTTAGCAAGGCCTACTCTCGGTGGTAATCCAAACTATCCTTACCCGAGAAGGTGTCGAACAGGGCGCCCGCCAACAGCTACTGGTATTTACAAAACATCGATTATTAGCAATCAACATTTGATGCAACTTATGAATTGCTGAATGAATGATTTATACAGACAAGAATGCCGAGAGTCCGCCAAGCGATCTGCATCCCTTGTACGTCCCTAGAGACGAAGAATACGAAGAACAGAAACAGGAATTCGTGTCGCAAGGACAGATGAACCTGCTGCTCCGCAACATAATTCCTACTGTGATAGCTCAAATATTCGGCGAGGAGAACTTCTACTTAGCAGTAGAAGTCGACAGCGAACAGGGACGAAGTAAGACCAAAATAAAAGTCGCGTCGCTCGACAAAGTTTTGAATGGAAATCCATTCTTGAATATTCTTCGTGGCGCTCATGACATAATAGAGGGATCCTTTAACTTGGATCCTCCGAAGTACATTTCAAGTGCGTCGTAAATTAGTCCTACCATCGTAGAAATGGATGTTTTTTCGAGGTTTTAACAATGTATATAATCGATCTTCTACCAGAGGAGTTCGTGTGGGGATTACCGGACGATGAATTTGGTCGACGAGTTCTTGCTGGAAGCAACCCTGTAAGCATAGAGAAGCTGAAGGTAAGCACAAACAGAGCAAGTATAACACAGAAGTTTTCGACATTAAAGTTTAAGCTCTGCTAACAGTAGGAATCAATCGTTGCGCAGATTTTTCCTCCGGTAAGCAAACTCGATTCTTCAATCTACGGGCCGCAAGAATCAGCATTGAAAGAAGAACACATAACAAGGTTTTTAGAAGGAATGTCTGTGAAACAGGTATGGGAAAGAATGAGTAATTTTGTGATATATCGATGCATATAGTAATCGAATATACATTTTAAGGCGATGGATGCAGATAAGCTGTTTATATTGAACTACCATGACATCTATCTCCCATTCGTGGATCGAATAAATGCAATCGAAGGGCGCAAGACGTATGCGACAAGAACAATTTTCTTCTTGACTTCATTTGGAACTTTGAAGCCCATTGCAATCGAGCTTAGCCTCCCGGTGTCGGATGAGAAAGTCTCGTGTAAAAGAGTTCTCACTCCTCCGACTAATGGCGCCACCGACTGGCTATGGGAACTCGGCAAAGAGCACGCCTGCACGAACGACGCAGCTGTCGACACCCTTGTTAATCACTGGTACTAAAAAAAATGCAAAAGAATCGAAATTCAAGTAAAATAATCATACCTTTAAGTTCAAAATTTTTCGACAGGATGAGGATTCATGCTTGTATGGAGCCATTCGTCGTAGCAGCTCATCGACACCTAAGCGCGATGCACCCGATCTTCAAGCTGCTGCATCCTCACACACGGTATTTGATTAGGACCAATGCGTTCAATCGAGATGGCGTCATCAACGCAGGTTCAGCTATCGAGAACTTCAACGCTCCCGCCAAGTATTGCAAGCAGCTTGGCTGTTCGGCGTATAAAGAATATTGGAGGTTCGACTTGGAAGGCCTTCCGGAAGATCTCATTACAAGGTTTGTTCCTTACCTTTATCCCCGAGAAAATTGCAAAATAATACCATATATATATTCTTCATTATCACTTTTGTATTTTATTTATCTCGGTGGCAAAATATATCCTATATGTTTGCAAAAGTCACTATTTCTTGTGTGAGCATTACACATGGCAAAGGACAGAAATAGCGACTTTTGCAAATATGTAGGATATATTTTGTGAGCCCTTTTCGCACTTTCATTTCTTTGTATAAATGATCGTTGCGCTCAATTTACAGAGGAATGGCAGTGCCTGACTCGACGCAGCCCCACGGACTAAAACTTACAATCGAGGATTACCCGTACGCGCAGGATGGCCTCCTTATATGGTCAGCAATCGAAAATCTGGTGACAAAATATGTGAATTACTACTATCCAGAGGCAAATCTTATTCAGAATGACACAGAATTACAAGCTTGGTACAATGAGGCAGTCGAAACAGGTCATGCCGATCGCGCGCAAGCGAATTGGTGGCCTAACCTCTCGACACAGAGCGATCTCATCGGCATTCTGACAACTATCATATGGAAAGTAACAGGACAGCATGCTGTCCACAACTTCGGCGCATATCCTTACGGTGGCTACTTCCCTGCTCGGCCTCCATTTATGAGAAAATTTCTCCCCTCTGAGCAAGATCCTGACTATGATCGCTTTCTTGCGAATCCTCGCGAGTATTTCCTGTCGTCGATTCCGAGTTTTATTCAGGCAACACAGTATGCATCTGTTCTCGATACAGGCTCGGCTCATTCTCCGGATGAAGAATACATTGGAGAGAGGAAAGACCTGTCGAGTTGGGGCGGGGTGCCGGAGATTTTAGAGGCGTTCGGCAAATTCTCCATGGATATGAAATCGATTGAGGAGGAGATTGTTCGAAGGAACTCGGATTCGGGACTGAGAAACAGGTGTGGAGGTGGAGCATCCCCTTTTGAACTGCTGATTCCGAGCTCGGAATCGGGGACGACGAGTAGAGGTGTACCTAACAGTGTAACATTATGACAAGAATTTGAGTGTGTTCAACGATTTAAATGGACAATCGGTGTGTTTAAATCATGTTATATAGAGGAAATAAGTCTCCGGGCATGGAACATGTATTGCGATACACATTTTACGAAGAGTGTGGAGAATTTGTGAAACAAAACCACAATGATCTATATATTTGAAGCGGTCAAATCAAGTATTTTCATTAGTATCTTTCTATGAATTTGAGAGAGAATACATCGAAAATGTATAGATGTCAAAAGCAAAAGCAAAACCTTAGTGCACGTGCCCCAGAAATTGTACGGACATATTCCGTAAGGGATGGCGTGGAGATGGACGTGACAGTAAAATTATGGGTTGAAATTCTGATGCTTTTAGATTTTGCTTAGCACACATGGTTCTCTAGTATGACTTATCTTGTCAGACCTAGTTTCTACACAGCTAATTTACTTGAACATCCTGTACTAAAAAAATAAACAAACAAATAAATAAAAATTATATGGACATAGTTCGATGTACATTACTCTTTTATGCTCAACTTCGGGCTTTATAACACAACAGTTTATCTACATGAACATGAACATGAACTTTTATATGAAGTTATCACAACATACAATATTTAAATTAAAATTTTGTACAATACATTGTTAGAAGTCATTCTTTGGGGATGCAAATTAGATCATCACCACCATACATCTTTAATTATTGGTATAATAATTTGTTTGAGGTTTTGAATTTTGAGTTTAATTCATTGGTAAAAATTTTGAATTTAAATAATTTAATGATGTAATATAAATAAAAGTTGATACATATTTTAAATATAAAATTGAATTTGAATATAATATAAATCCAAAATTCATATGGTTAATATAATGTAAAATCAATTAGCATTTAGTCAAATAATATACATGTATGTACAATGTATCTATATACAAAATATGCAACTATTAATAACTAAAAAAAATATTGATTAATAATAAAAATGTATTTGTTTCTAGTTTCTTGACTCAATTCCATCGACCAAAAACCCCTTAAAGTTTTGGGATTTCAACAAATTAAATTAATGGACAGGATATTTCATACTCACCAACTCTTAGGATTTGACTTCACTTAAAAAAGGACAATAAGAAAATGGAATGGAATTGTCCGAATGAGGGGTAGCACTCATCTAATCTATGGTTGACATTCTGTGCTTTAATAGCATTCTTTCTGGCAGCATCAATTTGCCTTAAAGAATTCCTCAAATGATTGAATCTTGCTGTTATATAAAGGGCTATGGTACCATTGCTATAGCACACAAAACAAACCCTACATTCTTTTCTATCCTTTTTGGGTGTCGAGATCGGCTGCGGCTTACCGGAGAATGGGAACTCCGGGAAGGTTGCGCCAATGGCGTCACCTTGCCTGCGCAATGGCACTATACTTCATTGCCATTGGCGCCGTTGTTCAAACTATGGCTGACGAGCTTTACAATCCTGGTAATTCTGTGACAGATATACCGGAGGTTTCTAAGGGTAACAAACCAAACAAATATAAGTCACCTCCGCCACCATCCTCACCACCTCCACCGTCGCCATCGCCTCCGCCGCATTATGTGTACAAGTCACCTACTCCGCCATCTCCATCACCGCCACCTCCATATGTATACAAGTCACCTCCTCCGCCATCTCCATCACCGCCACCTCCATATGTATACAAGTCACTACCACCTCCATCTCCATCTCCTCCACCGCCTTATGTATATATGACACCTCCCCCACCATTTGCATCACCTCCACCACCGTATGTCTACAACTCACCACCTCCACTGTCTCCGTCACCACCACCGCCTTATGTTTACAAGTCACCACCTCCACCATCTCCGTCACCACCGGCGCCGTATGTCTACAAGTCACCACCTCCGCCATCTCCGTCACCACCGCCGCCGTATGTCTACGAGTCACCACCTCCACCATCCCCGTCACCACCACCGCCGTATGTCTACGAGTCACCACCTCCACCGTCTCCGTCACCACCGCCGCCATATGTCTATAAATCACCACCTCCACCATCTCCATCACCGCCGCCGCTATATGTAGACGAGTCACCACCTTCACCATCTCCGTCACCACAACCACCATATATCTACAACTCACCACCTCCACCATCCCTGTCACCACCGCCGCCATATGTTGACGAGTCACCACCTTCACCATCTCCGTCACCACAGCCACCGTATATCTACAACTCACCACCCCCACCATCCTTGTCACCACCGCCGCTATATGTCGACGAATCACCACCTTCACCATCTCCGTCACCACAGCCACCGTATATCTCCAACTCACCACCTCCACCATCCCAGTCAGCACCGCCGACATATATCGACGAGTCACCACCTTCACCGTCTCCGTCACCACTACCACCGTATCCCAACAACTCACCACCTCCACCATCCCCATCACCACCGCCGCCATATATCGACGAGTCACCACCTTCACCATCTCCGTCACCACTGCCACCGTATGTCTACAACTCACCACCTCCACCGTCTCCGTCACCACCGCTGCTGTATGTCTACAAATCACCACCTCCACCATCCCCGTCACCACCGCCACCAAATGTATACAACTCACCACCTCCACCATCTCTATCACCACCGCCGCCATATGTTGACGAGTCACCACCTTCCCCATCTCCGTCAACACTGCCACCGTATGTCTATAACTCACCACCTCCACCATCCCTGTCACCAGCTCCGCCATATGCCGACGAGTCACCACCTTCACCATCTCCATTACCACTACCACCGTATCCCAACAACTCACCACCTCCACCGTCTCCGTCACCACCGCCGCCATATGTAGACAACTCACCACCTCCACCATCTCCATCACCACCGCCGCCATATGTTGACGAGTCACCACCTTCACCATCTCCGTCACCATATATCTACAACTCACCACCTCCACCATCCCTGTCACCACCGCCGCCATATGTCAACGAGTCACCACCTTCACCATCTCCGTTACCACAGCCACCGTATATCTCAAACTCACCTCCTCCACCATCCCTGTCACCACCACCACCATATGTCGACGAGTCACCACCTTCACCATCTCCGTTACCATTACCACCGTATCCCAACAACTCAACACCACCACCATCCCCATCACCACCACCGTCATATGTTGACGAGTCATCACCTTCTCCATCTCCGTCACCATTGTCACCGTATGTTTACAACTCACCACCTCCACCGTCTCCGTCACCACCGCCGCCGTATGTCTACAACTCACCACCTCCACCGTCTCCATCACCACCGCCGCCATATGTAGACAACTCACCACCTCCACCATCCCCATCACCACCACCGCCATATATCGACGAGTCACCACCTTCACCATCTCCGTCACCACTGCCGCCGTATGTCTACAACTCACCACCTCCACCGTCCCTGTCACCACTGCCGCCATATGTCAACGAGCCACCACCTTCACCATCTCCGTTAGCACCGCCGCTGTATGCCTACGAGTCACCATCTCCGCCATCCCCGTCACTACCGCCGCCATATGTCAACGAGTCACCACCTTCACCATCTCCGTCACCACAGCCACCGTATATCTACAACTCACCACCTCCACCATCCTTGTCAGCACCGCCGTCATATGTAGACAAATCACCACCTTCACCATCTCCGTTACCACAGCCACCATATCCCAACAACTATCCACCTCCACCGTTTAGATCACCACCACCGTCATATATCGACGAGTCACCACATTCACCATCTCCGTCACCACTGCCACCGTATGTCTACAACTCACCACCTCCACCGTCTCCGTCACCACCACCGTCGTATGTCTACAACTCACCACCTCCACCATCCCCGTCACCACCGCCGCCATATGTTTACAACTCACCACCTCCACCATCTCCATCACCACCGCCGCCATATATTGACGAGTCATCACCTTCATCATCTCCGTCACCACTGCCACCGTATATCTCCAACTCACCACCTCCACCATCCCAGTCACCACCGCCGACATATGTCGCCGAGTCACCACCTTCACCATCTTTGTCACCACTACCACCGTATCCCAACAACTCACCACCTCCACCATCACCATCACCACCGCCGCCATATGTCGACGAGTCACCACCTTCACCATCTTCGTCACCACTGCCACCGTATGTCAACAACTCACCACCTCCACCATCTCCGTCACCACCGCCGCCGTATGTCTACAACTCACCACCTCCACAATCCCCGTCACCACCGCCACCATATGTATACAACTCACCACCTCCACCATCTCCATCACCACCGCCATATGTCGACAAGTCACCACCTTCCCTATCTCCGTCACCACTGCCACCGTATGTCTACAATTCACCACCTTCACCATCTCGGTCACCACAACCACCGTATATCTCCAACTTACCACCTCCGCCATATGCCGACGAGTCATCACCTTCACCATCTCCATTGCCACTACCACCGTATCCTAACAACTCAACACCTCCACCATCCCCATCACCACCACCGTCATATGTTGACGAGTCACCACCTTCTGCATCTCCGTCACCATTGCCACCGTATGTTTACAACTCACCACCTCCACCGTCTCCGTCACCACCGCCGCCGTATGTCTACAACTCACCACCTCCACCGTCTCCGTCACCACCGCTGTCATATGTAGACAACTCACCACCTCCACCATCTCCATCACCGCCGCCGCCATATGTTGACGAGTCACCACCTTCACCATCTCCGTCACCACTGTCACCGTATATCTACAACTCACCACCTCCACCATCCCTGTCACCACCGCCGCCATATGTCAACGAGTCACCACCTTCACCATCTCCGTCACCACAGTCACCGTATATCTCCAACTCACCACCTCCATCATCCTTGTCACCACCGCCGCCATATGTCGACGAGTCACCACCTTCACCATCTCCGTTACCATTGCCACCGTATCCCAACAACTCAACACCTCCACCATCCCCATCACCACCACCGCCATATGTTGATGAGTCACCATCTTCTCCATCTCCGTCACCATTGCCACCGTATGTTTACAACTCACCACCTCCACCGTCTCCGTCACCACCGCCGTCATATGTCTACAACTCACCACCTCCACCGTCTCCGTCACCACCGCTGTCATATGTAGACAACTCACCACCTACACCGTCTCCATCACCGCCGCCGCCATATGTTGACGAGTCACCACCTTCACCATCTCCGTCACCACTGTCACCGTATATCTACAACTCACCACCTCCACCATCCCTGTCACCACCGCCGCCATATGTCAACGAGTCACCACCTTCACCATCTCCGTCACCACAGTCACCGTATATCTTCAACTCACCACCTCCACCATCCTTGTCACCACCGCCGCCATATGTCGACGAGTCACCACCTTCACCATCTCCGTTACCATTGCCACCGTATCCCAACAACTCAACACCTCCACCATCCCCGTCACCACCACCGCTATATGTTGATGAGTCCCCATCTTCTCCATCTCCGTCACCATTGCCACCGTATGTCTACAACTCACCACCTCCACCGTCTCCGTCACCACCGCCGCCGTATGTCTACAACTCACCACCTCCACCATCCCCGTCACCACCGCCACCATATGTATACAACTCACCACGTCCGCCATCGCCGTCACCACCGCCGCCATATGTCAACGAGTCACCACCTTCACCATCTCCGTCACCACTGCCACTGTATATCTACAACTCACCACCTCCACCATCCTTGTCACCACCGCCGCCATATGTCGACGAGTCACCACCTTCAGTATCTCCGTTAGCACCGCCGCCGTATGCCTATGAGTCGCCACCTCCGCCATCCCCGTCACCACCGCCACCGTATATCTACAACTCACCACCTCCACCATCCTTGTCACCACCGCCGCCATATGTCGACGAGTCACCACCTTCACTATCTCCGTTAGCACCGCCGCCGTATGCCTATGAGTCGCCACCTCCGCCATCCCCGTCACCACCGCCACCGTATGTCTACAACTTACCACCTCTACTATCTCCATCACCTCTGCCACCGTATGTCTTCCAGTCACCCCTTCCTCAATCCCCATCCCCACCGCCGCCGTATATTTACAAATCACCTCCTCCTCCATCCCCATCACCCCCACCGCCATATGTTTATATGTCACCACCTCCACCATTCGCATCACCACCACCACCGTATATTTACAAATCACCTCCTCCACTATCCCCATCACCACCACCGCCGTATATCTACAAGTCACCACCTACTCCATCACCGTCACCCCCGCGACCGTATGTGTATAAGTCACCACCTCCACCATCACCATCACCACCGCCGCCGTATGTATACAAGTCACCACCTCCACCATCCCCGTCACCACCGCCACCGCCACCGTATGTTTACAAGTCACCTCCTCCACCATTTCCATCCCCACCACGGCCGTATATCTACAAGTCACCACCTCCTCCATCATCGTCACCTCCACCACCGTATGCCTATAAGTCACCACCTCCACCATCCCCATCACCGTATGTTTACAAGTCACCTCCTCCACCATCTTCATCACTACCACCGCCGTATATCTACAAGTCACCACCTCCTCCATCACCATCACCCCCGTTACCGTATGTCTATAAGTCACCACCTCCACCATCACCACCGCCGCCGTATGTATACAAGTCACCACCTCCGTCATCCCCGTCACCACCAGCACCGTATGTTTACAAGTCACCTCCTCTTCTATCCCTATCACCACCACCGCCGTATATCTACAAGTCACCCGCTCCGCCGTCCCCGTCCCCTCCACCACCTTATGTTTACAAATCACCTCCTCCACGATCCCCATCACCCCCGCCGCCGTATGTATACAAGTCACCACCTCCATCTCCGTCACCACCGCCACCGTATGTTTACAAGTCCCCTCCTCCACCGTCCCCATCACCACCACCGCCGTATGTCTACAAGTCACCACCTCCCCCATCACCATCGCCCCCACCACCGTATGTCTATAAGTCACCACCTCCACCATCACCATCACCACCGCCGCCATATGTCTACAAGTCACCACCCCCACCATCCCCCTCACCACCGCCACCGTATGTCTACAAGTCACCCCCTCCACCATCTCCATCACGAACGCCGCCGTATGTTTACAAGTCACCTCCTCTACCATCCCCATCACCACCACGGCGTTATGTATATAAAACACCTCCTCCACCATCTCCGTCACCACCGCCGCCTTATATCTATAAATCACCTCCTCCACCATCCCGATCACCACCGCCACCTTCATATGTATACAAGTCACCACCACCTCCATCTGCATCTCCTCCACCACCTTATGTATATAAGTCACCATCTCCACTATCTCGGTCGCCTCCACCACCATATTTCTACAAGTCACGACCTCTTGGGCCTTTTATCTAGTAAGTCACCATTGAAGCAGCATTACTATGTTCGCGTTATATCTTGATTCCAAATTTGGATGAAGTGTCATTTATTATTATTATTGAAATCGGTCTATGGTCTTTTATGGAACGATCTTTAATTGATTGTAATTCAAATTCATTTAGTTTGATTCAACTTATATTCTATACATAAAGATTTCATGTGAAGATCCTTATGTGACAAAGTATTGTTTTTATATTACTCCTATTTTTTTGTCAATTCAAGATATACAAAAATTCCTTTTCATTTGTATTTCGGGATTTTTTTTTTCTGAAGTTTTGTTTTTATTTCAATATTGCATTGAATATGAAGTATCACTTAATTATCAATGTACATGTAATTAAAATAATGGAAATAACAATATATTATAAATATTGCATAAATTAATCAAACTAATTAATTATCAAATATAAATTTCTTAAACTCTGTTAAAAAGAATTGTATCCATTTAATAGAATGAATGAAGTATAATATATTTATATATGTATATATATATACATATAGTTTATATATTATTTTATGAACGGGACATGGAGGGACGTGAAGGAACGGGGGCTGGTGATTCCATCTCCATGTGTTTATATTGAAATTTATTTTATTAAAAATAATAAAACACTTCAATGATTAATAATTGAGAGCGCACACAATTAAAATGGCTACATAGAATCGAATAGAAGATAACATGATAGATATGGATAAACTCTCTTCAATCCCTCACCTCACAATATATATAATCTATAATTATTAAATTAATCTATAATTATTAAATTGATAATTGTATTGCCACATATATATTTGAAGAAAATTAGGATTGAATAAATAGTATAATAAAATATTTATTCAACAAATTTTTATTTATAGTAGTTACTCCGTCTCAGGACAAATGATCCATTTTTCTTTATTTGTTCGTTCCAAAATCGATGATATAATCATTCAAAATCTATTTATTTATATATCTCTTTTCAATATATAAATAATTTTATCTACATTTAAAAACTTTATATATTTTTTTTTTTATAAAACCAATTTATGTTTATGTTAATCACAAATTAATAAATACTATTCCCTCCATATCTTTCGACAGAAGTCTTTTAAAATTTTGTAGTAAATTAAAAAATAATAGTATTTTATTGGTTAATGTAGGTATGTAACAGATTTTGTCATTTGATTTTTTTTATAAAGTAACTGTATGTATGTGTAATGGTATATTTGTAATTTTAATGTATAATTAATTTTTTTTAAAAAAAAAATAAAACAGATACTTTTAAGTGACACAGACGAAAATAGTAAAAATATTACTTTAAATTAAGACGGAGAGAATAGTATATTTTTTTTATTTATTTGCATGATATAAAATTATATTCTATACAAAATAATATTTATATTATATTTTTTTATTAAAATATATTTTTTTAAATATTTAAACAAAATCATATATATTAATTAATATTTTAAAACTACCAACAATAATACTCATATAAAAATATAATACTGAAACAATATCATACCTAATTATAATTTTCTCTAAACTCCATTAACTTAAATATGGTGTCCAAACAAAACAGTGAATTGTTATGAAACGGAAAAATATTGTTTTACAAAATACCACATCAAGATTAATATTTAAACTATATAAAAAAATCAATTTTTTTTAAAAAAAAAACATTTAAATTATAATTGTCAAAATAAGAACTAGCTAAAGTTATGAGAGTAAATTATTAAAAAATAAAATAAATAAATACAAAACAAAAAACAAGAATAAAAACAAAAAACAATTATTTTATATATTATATATATTCAATATAAGTACTTAATTTAATAATTATAAATATATGTATAATTTAATAGGCGGAGTTGGAGAACTCAACCATTCTACCTTCGACGCAAATTCCTACGTGTCCGAATTATAATGTATTTTTTTTTTTGTTCGGTACAAAAAATTTAAAAATATCATTATCTTACGATATAATGTATTAAATTTTTTGATATGTTAAAAAATATTAATACCATATTAAAAATTCATAGTAATCAATAAAATAGTGTACAAAATTATTTGTACGATATTGCAATATACTGTTTTCTATCAAACTATCAAATTTTAAAATAATTTTATAATTTTAGAAAAAATTAAAAATATATAATTTTGGTAATATTAAATACCAAAAATATCAAAATAATATACAGTATTACCGATATATATAAAAAAAATCAAAATAATTAATACTAAAAATCTCAAATTATATATAGTTACTTTACCAAAAAAATTCACTACAGTATCATATCTTACAAAAGTTTTTGAATGTCGAAATTTAGTATTTTCGGCATATTCTTAATACAGCATTGCGTAGTATTCCGAACTTTTTCACCCTTAATTTTTTTTCTACATTTTTTAAAAAAAAATTTGGCTTTACTTTTTGTATTTTCACTATCGGCACGTTGATTTCACGAAATAAACAAGATTAAAAAAAATCCAAAACATACCAAATTGGTTGTCAATAAAAGGACATGTGTAGCTAGCAAGAAAGAACCTCATCAGTCTCACAACAGCAACAACAATGGCGATCACCTCCATCTCTCTACCCAAACCTTTTTCCCTGCATCATTCATCAGCCACTCCTCTTTCCATATTGAAAACCAAAACATACAGATTCTCTTACATCTCCGAAAAATCGAATTTTCCGAGAATGCGCAAGGTTGTAATGACGCTGAGAGAATCCCCGGCTGCTCCGGTGCAAGAAGATCTTCGAGAGAAGCCCGCGATGCTCAATACGACAGCTCTTGTAACGGTGAAGTTCAAAAAATCAGGGAATCCTGCGGAGGCTATTTGTCGCGGCTTGAAGGGTGCATTGGGACAGGAAGGTGTAATTCTGCAGTTAGTGAGCAATGAAGTTGATCCGAGTAAGGCAATCGTAATTTTATTTTATTTTTTTTGTCGGGGTTTTCGTGTAGTCTGTTAATTCACAAGCTTTTTGTTGATGTGAAGAAACAATGAAGGCTAAGCTTAGCAAAGAAGTAGTGCTAAAATGGTCGAATAGCGCAAAGGTTGAAGGAAAAGGCGAAGGCGATGATTGTACTTACAAGGTGAAGTTTGATATTGATCCCGATTTTGGTATCCCGGGAGGCATTCAAGTTCGGAGTCAATGTGACGAAGAGTTCTTCCTTGTGAGTGCATCGGTTGGAGAAGTTCGATTCATTTGCCGATCATGGGTGCAGCCGGAAAAGATCAGCCCGGCGGCGAGGATCTTCTTTTGTGACAAGGTAAGAACACAATCCCAGATAATCGGATATTCCTAACCGATTAAACTTTTAGGTCTGTTCCTGTCATATTATCATTTAAATTTGTTTTAATATGATAATAAAGACTAATTATTACTCTCTCCGTCCACAAGAAGTATCCATTTTTATTTTTTTTTATTTCCGTTCGTCTTTAATTTTAATATATAATTATTTTTATTATATAATAATTATTTTTACTAATACATTTTTACTTACTATGTGTCATCGAAACAGGCATATCTACCCTCTCAGACTCCATCGGGACTGATCGAGCTCCGGCGGCGAGAACTTACCGATTTAAAAGGCGACGGGAATGGATCGCTGCTGCCAACCGACAGAATATACGACTACGATGTGTACAATGACCTCGGCAGGCCGGACAGCGGACCTGATTTAGCAAGGCCTACTCTCGGTGGTAATCCAAACTACCCTTATCCGAGAAGGTGTCGAACGGGGCGCCCTCCAACAGCTACCGGTATTGTCAAAACATCGATTATTAGCAATCGACATTTAATGCAACTTACAGATGCTGAATAACTAATAACTATACCTTAAGGCTGCAAATCCTGTGTTAATCCGGCCACGTCAGTATAGTGCTGATATGGTTGGGTTAGCAATATGGATAACCAATATATATTTATATATATCTCAGCATATGCTGAGTTATAATATTAATATAATATATGCTTATTACAAACATGGTAAATTATGTATAAATATATATTGGTTACCCCTATAGTATGCTTTAAACTCAAATGATGCAACAGACAAGAATGCCGAGAGCGCGCCAAGTGCTTCGCTGCCAATGTACGTCCCTAGAGACGAAGATTACGAAGAACAGAAACAGGAATTTATGGCGAAAGGACAGTTGAATGTAGTATTCCGTAACATAATTCCTGTTGTGATATCTCTAATATTCGGCGAGGAGAACTTCTACTTAGCAGTAGAAGTAAACAAAGAACAGGCGCGGAGTAAGACCAAAATAAAATTTGCGTCGCTCGACGATTCATTGAATGGAAATCCAATCGTGCAAATTCTTCGCGGGATTCAGGAGATAATAGAGGGATCCCTTAACTTGAATCCTCCCAAGTACATTTCAGGTGCGTCGTAAATTAGTACTACCATTATAGAAATTGTTGGGAACTCCCGTATATTAGAAAAATAATTAATGACGCGTATCTCTAATAGTTTAAACTTTTAGGTGAGACTGTCATTCTGATCGTCTAACAGAAATAGATTTCTTCGACTTTTAACAATGTAAAATTTACCAGAGGAGTTCGTGTGGGGATTGCCCGACGATGAATTTGGTCGAAGAGTTCTTGCTGGCCACAACCCTGTAAACATAGAGAAGCTAAAGGTAAGGATAAACAGAGTAAGCTATAATACAAAGTTTCGAAATTAAAGTTCGAGCTCAGCTAACAGTAGGAATGAATCATTGCGCAGATTTTTCCTCCGGTAAGCAAACTCGATTCGTCTATCTACGGGCCGCAAGAATCAGCATTGAAAGAAGAACACATAGCAAGCTCTCTAGAAGGAATGTCTGTGCAACAGGTATGGGAAAGAATGAGTAGTTTCGCGATATTTCGATGCATATAGTAATCGAATGTACATTTTGAAGGCGATGGATGCAGATAAGCTGTTTGTATTGAACTACCACGACATCTATCTCCCTTTCGTGGATCGAATAAATGCAATCGAAGCGCGCAAGATGTATGCGACAAGAACTATTTTCTTCTTGACTTCATTTGGAACTTTGAAGCCCATTGCAATCGAGCTTAGCCTTCCGGCGGCGACGGATGAGAAAGTCTCGCGTAAAAGAGTTCTCACTCCTCCGACTGATGGCGCCACCGACTGGCTATGGGAACTCGGCAAAGAGCACGTCTGCACGAACGATGCAGCAATCCACGCCGTTGTTAATCACTGGTACTAAAAAGATGCAAAGAATCGAAATTCAAGTAAGGCCTACATACCTTAAGTTTATAAATTTTCGACAGGATGAAGATACATGCTTCTATGGAGGTATTCGTGATAGCAACTCATCGAAACCTAAGCGTGATGCACCCGATCTTCAAGTTGCTGCATCCTCACACACGGTATTTCCTTAAGACCAACGGATTCACACGCGACAGTCTCATAAACGCAAATGGAATATTCGAAGCAAACAATGCTCCAGCCGAGTATTGCATGCAGCTCAGCAGCTCGGCATATCAAGATTGGAGGTTCGACTTAGAAGGCCTTCCGGAAGATCTCATAACAAGGTCGGTTTCTTACCTTTCTCCATTCAATCCCCCTTTATTTCCATCGATACGTTATATATATATATATGTATGCAAAATACACAGGGGAATAGCAGTGCCCGATTCCACGCAACCCCACGGCCTAAAACTTTCAATCGAGGATTATCCGTATGCGCAAGATGGCCTCCTTATATGGTCTGCAATCGAAAACCTGGTGACAAAATATGTGAATTACTACTATCCAGAGGCAAATCTTATTCAGAATGACACAGAGTTACAAGCCTGGTACAGTGAGGCAGTCGAAACCGGCCATGGGGATCTCGCAGGAGCAACATGGTGGCCTAAGCTCTCGATCCCAAGCGATCTGATCAGCATTCTGACAACGATCATATGGAAAGTAACAGGACAGCATGCTGTACACAACTTCGGACAATATCCTTACGCCGGCTACATCCCTGCCCGGCCGCCATTTATGAGAAAATTTCTGCCCTCGGAGCAAGATCCCGACTACGAACGCTATCTTGCGAATCCTCGAGAATATTTCCTGTCGTCGATCCCAAGTTTTACGCAGGCTGCACAATATGCAGCTGTGCTTGATCTAGGCTCCGGGCATGCTCCTGATGAAGAATACATTGGAGAGAGGAAAGACCTGTCGAGTTGGGGCGGGGTGCCGGAGATTTTAGAGGCGTTCGACGAATTCTCCATGGATATGAAATCGATTGAGGAGGAGATTGTTCGAAGGAACTCGGATTCGGGACTGAGGAACCGGTGTGGAGGTGGAGCATTCCCTTTTGAATTGCTGATTCCGAGCTCGGAATCTGGAACGACGAGCAGAGGTGTACCTAACAGTGTAACAGCTTGACAAGGAGCAACAAGAATATTAAGTACGTGGAAGATCTAAGGGAACAATCGGTGAATTCAAATCATGTTGAATAGAGGAAATAAGTCCCTGTATCTAATGGAGAGTGATCTCAAAACAAAATGTTATTCAAAGAAAAAATCAGTCAACTATTTGAAATTTAAAATTCAAAATGTCTCTGGTATTCAAATAATTAAGTGTAAAAAAAATGTTAAAAATTAGTGGTAGAATCCACGGTTAGAAAATGTAAACCTTTGAATTTAATGAACAAAAATATAAATATGTAGACATTAGGAGTGGACTGAGGAATAATTATATTTTTTGCGTCCCAACTTAATTACTATTTTATTTTTCTAGTAAATTAAAAAATAATATTTTTTATTTATTGATACCACTTGTAACGGGTCGGACGGTTCCTCCTCGAACACCTTCCCGTTAGCCTAACGATTCTTCGACTCCCTCGAGAACTTGCTAGTGCAGCCTCACTCCAATACCTGCTAAAAGTAAGAACACTATAAGATGCACCCGGAAAAATAGTGTTTTATTATTGATTCAAAACTGGAGTGGAATACAAGTGAGGACTTCTCCTCTTTATATAGACACTCTATCATGGATATGCTAAATCTTAGCAAGATATGGATACGCCATATCTTATCAAATCCACACTTGGATTTGTTATATCTTATTTCTTTTATTTAGATATCTATATCTGTAGATTGATAAGATATAGCGAGAATCTGTAGCCGCAAGTGTGCTATGGGTAAACCCTAATCCAACCTAATACCTTGCAAATTAGGTTCGATATTTGATTTATTGGTAAAAATATGTAAAATAATTTTAACATTTTTACCAAAGTACAAAAAAATATGTATACTTTTGTGATATTTATGTATAAATTACTTTTATTATAATAAAAAAAAATGACTACTCTTTAATGTGACCGATCGAAAATTATAAAAATAATATATCGAGTTGAGATAAAGAGAATAATTTATCGTGTTCATCTAACAGCCAATTAAAGACTGTTAATAATTAATACTTTACATGGATTCCCAACAAGAACTAATTAAAAATAAATAAGGAATATTATGTCAATACTGTTCGTGCTTATTTAGGAAAATTGTATATTTAATATTTAAATATCTAACATGATTTTTATTATTGAATGTATCTAAGTATTTATATATAAGTTCCAGATAAGATAGTAAAGACATGCATGATACCCTCTTTTATTTAAAATTATGTATTTACATCTCTTTTTATAATAAATAAATAAATATATATATTAAAAACTCCTCAATTATTTTAAAATTAATTTATATCAATTACAAATAAATATTTATATTTTTTATTTATGTTTATTTTATAAAATTTTATTTTCTATAAAATAATATACATATGGTATATATTTTATTAAAATATAATTCTTAAAATAATTAAAGACACATTTTAATTTTTTTAAAAATTTTATATATTATATTATAAATCAAATATTAATTAAATAAATTACTTCTAATCTAATTTTCAACTAAAAACTCAACTCATAACCAAATGCTTATTTCTTAAAGATATTTTTAAGGATATTTTAGTTGGGTTCAATAATAGAGTGATTTATTGTCGCACGACGACATCTTTTTTGGTCTATTGAGGACAAGACAAAAAAAAAAGTAAAATAAATAATAAAATAAATAATACTCTCTCGTCCCAAAAGTATAGTATGGGTTGTGTTTGACACGAGATTTAAAAAATATTGATATTATATTGATAGTGGATAAAAAGTACGAGTAAATGAATTTTTTGCCCTTGTGAGTGTATTAGTGTAAAAATTAGTGGCAATTGTATAATAATAATAATGAAAATGTAAGGGTAGTTTTATAGTGATATGATTATTTATGAAAACGAGACTATTATTTTGGAATAGACAAAAATGATAAACAAAGACTATTTATTGTATTGGGTCGAATGGAGTAAAAAAGATGATACCGAGTTGAAGCGCTTAAGTCACGAGGATCATGTGAAGTATCCGGTGGGGTCGAGTTGACGAGGATCAAATAATATCTTAGAAATTGGAATGGTTAATCCATATGGAAGGACGATTATGTTCTCGTGTGTATTTGTGAGGTTTTTGAAATAGTTTTATTATTTAATTTTTTTTTCTTCAAAAAAAGCGTCCAATCAAACATTATTTTTTATTTATTTATTATATTAAATTAAAATTTATTTTACATTGAAATATTACGACAATACATGTTTAAATCATATCAAATATTTATTTCAATTAAAATTTTAATATTTTAAATCAAAATTCATAAGTAAACACAAATATTTAGAAAACAACTAAATAAATATGGAAGATGGTAAAAATACTATTAAAATATTTATTTTATTATTTTTATTAAATAATAATACATTATTTTATTAAAAAATGATATATTTCAATACAGACTTCTACTTATGTTATGTCCTTTTCACAAAAACTTTATATTTAATTTATTAACGGTTAAGATATGAAAAAATCTACATGAAATCCTCATCCAAATATTTTATAAAAATATCACAATCGACGCATTTTTATGTTAAAGTCTTGGTCAATAAGTCTGTTAAATTATTATTAAATATGATCTGCAACATATCTATTTCACTATTTTCTTGAAGATTATGAGTGAAAAAAAAAAATTGGTGAAATATGTTTCGTTATATCTCTTTTGATCATTACAAGAAAAAATCATTTTTGTAACAAAACTTTTTTGTCTCTAAATCTACTTTTTCCATTACTAATCACATTAGAGACGGAATTAGGAATGAAATTACGTTAGCTACGTAAACTTTAGGGACGGAATTCCGTTACAAATATATTATTTTTTTGTAGTGGATATATCATCTTTTTAGTTACGCTATACAAGTTGCATTATCTTCGTATAAAATAGTAGGACAATTCTTTAAAATGTGATAAGTCATTGATTTCAACTAGTCACATTTTCGACTAGTCTCATAAATTGTTATTATTTCAACATGATTTGAAGATATTGTGGTTAATATTTGTTTAATGGATCCGATGCCTCATGTATATATGTTCAGTTTGAGACTTGACTTTATGCGAGTCAGAAAGATACTCAGTATCTGCATATCTAATCAATTCATGTCGAGAATTCTTTGAATATAATAAACCGATATCAATCGTTCATTAGAGATAACAAAAAATATGTTTAATGTCTTTCTAATGTCGTTGTGTTGGCATTGTACTAAATCTTACTAATAAATTTACATAAAATGCTATATCTAATCTTGTACCGTTAGTCAGACACATTAGTGCAACAATAGTCCTTATATATAGTACTTCAGGACCAAGTACTTCATCACTCTCTTATTTCGGTCTAAAGGGATCTTTAATAGAATCGAGAGTTCTAATGACTATTGGAGTACTTAATGAGTGTGTTTTATCTATTGTAAATTATTTCAATACATTTTGGTATATGTAGTTTGATGGATCAAACTTCTATTTTCTAAATGCAATTTGTAGCCCAATAGCTTCTTGACATTTTTGTAGGTTACAATTACATTAGAGTCATCAACGTAAACAACTATTATCACAAATTTTCTCCTATTATTGTTATAAAAACACATGGGCAAACAAAATCATTAGCATATCCTTATTTCAATAATGATTTATTGAGATAATTATATCATATGCGACCAGATTGCTTGAGCTCATTCAAAAAAATTTGTACTTTAATAAAATAATGTTATTTTGGTTTTGATTTATATGCTTTAGGCATACTGAATCATTTAGAGATTCTCATATAGATATCAATATATAATGAGCCAATAAATAGGCAATTACGACGTCCATTAGACGTATATAAAAATTTTCATGAATTACCAAACTAACAAGATATCGAAATGTTATTTCATCTATTACTGGAGAATATGTTTCAATAAAATCAATTTCATATTTTTGTGAAAAACCTTAGATTACAAGTCTTGTTTTATATCATCAATCTCATTATTCTTACCTCATTTTCAAACAAATACTCATTTATAGTCAACAAGCTTAACATCTTCCAGTGTTTGTACAATAGATCCGAAAACGTTACGTTTTGCAAGTGAATTCAATTCAACTTGGATCACATATTTTTATTTTGGCCAATTTTTTTTTTTTCGTATATTCATTAAATGGTCTAGGTTCAGGATCTTTGTCATTTTTCATTAAATCACACTACAAGAAATTATCAATTTTATAACGAGGTTTTTTCGTTCCTAAATTCACTTTTTCCGTTACTAATGATATTAGAGACGAAATTAGAAATGGAATTACGTTAGCTACGTGAACTTTAGGAACGGAATTCCGTTACAAATATACTATTTTTTTTTTGTAGTGTCAAATGCTACATTACATGCAAAAACATTATTGATAATTATGTCCTTTCAGTTATAATATTTTCAGTAGTAACATAATTTATTAAATTTTTAATAACTTCATTCTCTTAAAGAGAAATTATATCGAGATTAACTTCTTCGGAAATTTGATCAATGTTAATACTTGTTTCATAAAGATTTTGATTAATATTCAATTCCTCAACCCTTTCATTTGTTCCTCTTTTTTTTTCAAGAATTTATATTTTTGGAACCTAAAGGTCTATCACGCTTCAGACATGTATTTGATTCATTAGCGCTTTGCATTTGCCCTTCACAATTTTAGCCGGATGACACGGTATCGGGTGGATAGTTCGTTTATTATATTTCATAGCCTTGATTCTACGTTTGAATTGAAGTTAGAAGTCATGGAATTGATCTGATCCATGTCACCGGTGTATTCTATGTAGCTATATATGATCTGGTGACCTTACTGGCGTCACAAAAAAAATCAGGTAATTGATTTTCTAGTCGCTACAAATGCACAATTTGTTTCACTTCTAATTCTCTTTACCTATTACGATGATAAAAAAATTGACATGTACTTTCCAAGTAATTTTTTTTTTTTTTTTCAATTGATCATTTCTCCCCCTAGTGTTGGAAAATGTGAATCGTCAAATTGACAATCAGAAAATGAAGTTGTTAACAAATCACCAGTTAATAGTTCAAATATTTAATAATAGATAGTGATTTATACCCGATATATATTTCCAATCTTCATTTGGGGCCCATTTTTGTATATTAGGGCGGTGCTACTAATGGGTAATAGCTATGATAGCTTATCGGTCTTAATCTTATTAATGTTGTTGCATGCATAACTGCATGTTCCCAAGCAGATATGGAAAGTTTAGATTTCATCAACGTAGGTTTTGCAA